GCACCGTGGCACACACAACGTGTTAAACAGCACCGTGTGTGACACACACAATGTGTTAAACAGCACCGTGTGGCACACACAATGTGTTAAACAGCACCGTGTGGCACACACGTGTTAAACAGCACCGTGTGACACACACAATGTGTTAAACAGCACCGTGTGACACACACAATGTGTTAAACAGCACCGTGTGTGACACACACAACGTGTTAAACAGCACCGTGTGTGACACACACAATGTGTTAAACAGCACCGTGTGTGACACACACAATGTGTTAAACAACACCGTGTGACACGCACAATGTGTTAAACAGCACCGTGTGACACACACAACGTGTTAAACAGCACCGTGTGACACACACAACGTGTTAAACAGCACCGTGTGACACACACAACGTGTTAAACAGCACCGTGTGTGACACACACAACGTGTTAAACAGCACCGTGTGTGACACACACAATGTGTTAAACAGCACCGTGTGTGACACACACAATGTGTTAAACAGCACCGTGTGACACACACAATGTGTTAAACAGCACCGTGTGACACACACAACACCAATAGGTGGGAGAGTTGCTAAGTGGGGTTTCCCCCCCTCCACCCCCCGAGTGTTACACCACTGTGCTTGTTCACGCCACTGTTAGTAACACGGCCACTGAAGACACTCGACGCGATGTGCACAAAGATGTTTTATGATGTTATTCACATAAAACGAATGCTTAGGAGTTTGGCCATCTTTTACGTATATGCCAATTAAACATTAATGCGAGGGGTAGGGGGACGAGCAAAATTTTAACCCATTACATTCGACGAGCCAATCAGATTGTAGTTGCCGACCGTTAATTACTAGGTGGGCAGATTAACGGATGGCGAAAGTTTCAACCTCGAATCAGATATGGCACTTTTGGATTGCTTTTAGAGTCCAGTCTGCACACTTTTGTGTCACAGCATCTCCAAATGCACACACAGTACCACACCGGTGCAATGTATTATAAGGTCGCACTCAGTACACACGAGGTGCTTGTCACAAACGAGCCACAATACCTCGCTGATCTCACCAAAGAGCATAATTCAGCACGCAAACTCTGGTCATCCTCGCGAACCATCGATCAAAAACGGTCACCGCATTGCGCTCTTTCAGATGTGCTTCTGCGGACACATCTGGAACGCTCTTCCTTCTGATATTAGGAAGCCACTGGAGCTATGCCCTTTTAAATCTAGATTGAAAACTCAATTCTTTAGATCTGCTTTTTGTATTTCGTTTGCTGTCCTTCCCCCGCACCTCCGATTTGCATGGTTGGATCCGTTGGGTGCGAAAGAAGTTCAACATACACACATAAAATAATATCAACATACTGTACTTACACACATATCTATCAGCTTCAGCAAAGCCACTATGAAAAGTACAAATATTGAAAATGTAACGTCACATTTGGCTTTAGTACCCTTAAAAACCTTCAGATAACAGACCATAACAGGACGAGGTAAAACAATTTAAAAAGAAATAGCAATTCCGATTTTGGGTGGCCAAAATTGTAACGTTTTAGTTCACAGGATATGCATAGTCTAAGCGTAGACTGGATTATATGCGTGAAACATGCCAGCTGTTGAGCCTCATTTCTAGAATAACATTATAATTTACATCCCACACTCACAGCGACGGATATTAGACACCTTACATTGTTTGTGATTTCATGTATGGCATGAAGAATATTGTTACCTAAGAGGGTAACACTATTTAAAACGCTAAAAATATCAATTACATTCTAATAGCACCAAACCCTTTGGAACATTTATGAGCAAGAAGCTGACCTTCAAATCTGGAGAGGCATCAAAGCCGTAATTTATGTATTCTATCATACTCGCAAAGGGGATCAGATAAGAGGCATTACTTATATTAATATATGTGAAGCGCTAAATTACTTTTAAAGCTGGATTACATGCCGTTGGAACAACTGTGTTTTGTTGTTCACAGTTGAAGATTTCATCGAAACCACATAACTGTGTCAACAAACTCGCAATTTTTGCATCCACATGTTACGGAGTGCCTACAAATGCCCGTTAAGGATCGGTGCCTTGTGTGCCTTCATGGTGACACACGGCTGTTGTTGTGCACCTTTGGACAAAGGGTTGGTGGGTCACGCAGACACAATAGCCATCCAGGATGAATGGCGATGGCTGCAAAAGGCGGTGATGGAGGGAACGCCCGAAGGCACTAGGGGGGAGATGAAGATCACGATCTGAGTGGATGTCAAACATCAAACACTGGACACAGGGTGGAAGCCGTCTCTGTTGAAAGACGCAGCCATGGAGAGAGAAAAGTGGAGAGACTGCCGCAAGGGGCTATCGGTGAAGGAAATGGTAATGACCCAAAACAGCTAAGGTATTAGAAGTAGATGTTATGATGGCAGTAGCTGCAATTCGATCCCTTGTCTTTGTGCACGCACAGTATTGAGTGATATTTTCTCACATGCAAGGGTGTTTGCAAGGCACTTTGGTAACCATCCATGCACAAGAAAGTATCTAGAAGGAATTGGTCATTCATCGAAAATATGTGCATTGAGACTCAGTGAGGCTATTCACAACAGAGAATAGAAAAAAATCAATATATTCAAAACCCTATTATTATCCACGAACATCTCTTGTATAAAAAAAAAAGAATGAAACTGCCGTAGCTCCTTCCGACCAGAGGGAGACTTATGGTATTAAAGGTGACCTATGTTTGACCCATGACCTTCGGCTTCGGTAAAAGGAACCTCGATCAAAAACAAAGACCCATAAATAGGGTTCAACGTTGTTCGATGAAACTTGTGAGACATCAAGGCATCAGCTATCTACAGTATGTGTGGCAAACGTTCAGAATGAAGCTGCGACAGAGCCATAGAAATTATCTTGACGAAAATTCGTATTTCGTCAGATCTCTTTTTCCCGAAAATGTGCCGATGTCTCCAATTACTAACGATGAGACAAACCGTCGTGGATTTGAGCACTTGGTAAAAATGAAAGTCCGGCCATCAGCGTTTATTGGTGTGTCTAGATAAGCCAAGTGCGTTGACAATCCGAGTGTTCTGCACATACACTTTAAGCCCCCTCACTATTTTTGGATATATTTTTGGATATATTCTTGACTTTTTGAAAATGAATAACGCACGCCTGGGGCCCATTCATTCACTGGAAAGGGTTTAATGAGGGAAAATTCTACCAGAAAAGCCAATTCGGTCACTGTTACATATTTGCACACACCCATCCCCTCTCCTCCTCCCACTCCTTTGCCCGAATCTCACTCTGGTCATTCCAAATCTCTCCACAGTTGCCCTCCACATCCTCCAGCATCTCTCTCACCTCACCCCCCCCAACCTCCCACAACATCGCCTCCGCTATATTCCAAGAACATCGCTCCGCAATGAAAGCACAGCGAGCTCTTTGTCGAGCGTGCAAACCGAAAACAATGTGCAGATGTGCGTCGGCCTCGAGAGGAAACGATGCGATGATGAAAACACTTCACAAATAAACATCTTCATCAAAATAAACATATCTTTTGAACAAACGGTGGACGACGAGTGGCTTAGAGGCGGCGGGGGGGGGATGAATGTGTCTATGTCTGGGCACTGAGCCAGAACTTTTGCGAATTCTTTTGTGTTTCGTGGACAAACAGACCAGGCGAGGAAGAAAACATCAACCCTTCCCACAGCAGGTCGTCGGCTCAGAAGTTTCATCTCAAAAGTGTGCCGATGTGACCGCGAGTTTAAGGGGGGTGGGGGGGCTTTGTTTTTGGCGTAGGCCGTGAATCTGCGGGCAACATATCACCACTTACCGTACAACTCATTTGAGAAGTGTAACCGTCAACGTGCCCGGGTTTTTGCACATCAGAGTATCGAGCTGATTACAGCCGTGTTGTGCGATTTTAACCATTCTTCCCGCTCCCCCTTTCGATGTAATGTCCGTGTTCCACTCGCGTTTACGTGCGAACGCAGCGCGCGAAAACACGCGTTCATTCGGAGACGTGTTCATTGGAAATCTCGAGTCCGTTCTGTTTTGAATATGCAGCAGCAGCAGCAGCAGTACTGCGGGTGCCGCTCTCAATGCACAAATATGTTTAACATAAATGACGTCACGCGATTTTGGACGATTTTTGACCCCCCCCCCCCACCTTCGTCACACAGCGTCACAAAAAGTCAGACACCCCCCCAAATATGACGTCACAAAGCTCTGCCCCCCCCCGCCAAAAAATAAAACATGCTTCAAGTCGCTTTAAACTATTGCCATTGTAGTGCGTATTTAATGTGGCGCTGCACTCTGATGTTGTAGGAGAAAACATTTGTCAAAAAGCCTATTTAACTAAGTAGAACGTGTTGTCTATATTTATTTAAAGTTGCGCATTTTGATGTGACGTCACATTTCTCACCCCACCCCCCCCCCCTTGTCACACATCGTCACAAATGTCTGACCCCCCCCCCCACCCCAGATGCTGCTGGCTGGGGGGTGGTGGTGGTGGTGGGGTCGCCTCGGCAAGTCGCATCTTTTATTTAAAAATCGACAGCCTTTCAAAACGCGAGAGGCGGCGGTGTAAACATTTAGAGGGCCCCGCGTGTCGCCGTTGGCCTCATGGCAACAACGCTTTGTCCGCGTTCGCCATCGCCCCGCCTGTTGAATAGAAAGTGGCAACGCGGTCGATGCGATTAATAATTATCGCAGATGCTCACTTCCTGTGCATTAGAAGCGTCGGCCGAGCCTTTTACGCGGTTCGGCGATTCACGTGAAGGCTGTGGCTCGGCTAGTCGCTTGCCCGCGCCACTGCTGGAGGATATTTTGGTCTACTCTTCCACTGGTGGCTAAAAGTCTTCGGAAGCGTTTCGGAGCGGGGGCGGCGGTGACACTTTAGCCTGCTAAATGCGACGTGGCGATCGGATGACTTTGGCAATTAAAGAAAATTGTATATATATTTTTTTCTTTTTTCACCATGAGGCCATGGGTTAGGCGAGCAGGTGGTTTTACTCACCCATCCTCATCCTGGTGGTTGATGTTTGGCCTCTTGGTGGAGCCCAGCAGCTCTGCAAGTAAAAAAACAACACAGGGCAAGCGAAGTGTCAAAGGGCGTGTCGGAGACACAATGAACAGCAACAGCGGCAAACAGCCTGCTGACAAAGACGCAGTGAGAGAGACAGAGAGCAATCTTTACACCATGTGCTCGAAGCGTATATTTCACTTTGTCAGGAACCGCCTGAGGTGGCATCAACTCGACGACTCCAATTTCCCTTCGTGCCCAAAAAACACAGCGAATGACGTGAAAATCACTTCAAATGAGCGGGGTTATAAAGTAATCCGCTCTTTTTAGCCGTATAAATGCGTGGGTACGACTAACATTTGCTCCCTCACGCGGTACCAATGTCCGCTCTGGCCCACGGACGACAAGATCTTCTTCTTCTTCGTCTTCATCTTCTACTTCTTCTTCTTCGTCGTCTTCTTCTTCTTCCTCTTCTTCTTCGTCGTCTTCTTCCTCTTCTTCGTCTTCTTCTTCTTCCTCTTCTTCCTCTTCTTCATCTTCGTCTTCTTCATCTTCTTCTGCTTCTTCTTCTTCTTGTTCTCCTCCTTCTTGTTCTTCTTCTTTGAACTATCTTCTTCTTCCTCTTCTTCTTCTTCTTCACGTGGCTCCTGCTGCTGATGATGATGATGGAGAGGAACAGCTCTGCATTTACATTGAGGTGGTCGAGCCAGATGATCGCATCAGGAGCAGCGGAGTGGTGAAGCGTTGTGACGATGCCTCCTCCGTGTTCGTGAATCGGGCACCGCGTCATCAATCGTGTGTGTGTGTGTTCCATGGCCCTGAGAGTTCATTTTTAAAAATATTTTTTCTATCGGTGCATCGTCATCCGATATCCGCAACGGCCGTTGGCGGGTTGCTGCGGGTTGTGGTGCTGGAGGCGATCAAAGCGATCTCGGCATTTCCAGCACACTGAATAATACAAAGACAATATCCAAACAGAAGGCAGCTTGGCAGGACGAGTGTGTATTTACGAGGAGGGCCATATGCTGTAGGAGGTTTAAAAAAAAAAGATCAATTCTCGTGTATTATTCTTTGAAGAAAATTGTTCGTGCAACGGGGGATTTATTTGGGAAAATATAAAAAAATTTTAAGCGCATTGTAGCAATATCAATTCTATAACAATTAAATCACGCGTTGGTGTGTGTGTGTGTGTGTTGAATTGTGTGACATCCGCACACGCCAGGTTGGTAAAGTTGTTCCACGGCCAATATTCAATGCCGGGGCGATAGTTGACATGCAAAAAATACGACTGTGCTAAATAATGACGGGTGCTACTGCAGAGATAGCAATAGCATTTTGTCAATAAGTTCTGTGCCACACGAACCAACTCTATAACCGTATTACAGCAAAACAACTAAAATTACTGTAATCTAAACCAAGTAGTAATAATGAAGACATCTTGATCTAATCACGTGCATTGACTTGTATTTTTGACTTATAGGGAATGCTAACAGCTGACAGCTTAATTGTACTCTTGGAAGTTGCTTATTCCGCGCGTTCTCTAAATTATATTTCAATTGCGCTTTCGGAAGTCTTGCCACGCGACGACGGGATTTCCATTCAGAGAACGGCTGCAGAAGATGACATCGCAGAATGTCAATTGAAATAGACATCTCTATCTGCGGTAAGGGGGCACCACCTCTCTTGATGCCCTCCAACGGATGTGTTCGTTGCGTGTCAATCAAACAGAACATACGTTCACGTCTTGAGCTGGAATATTTGGCCAAATCGCACGCGGTCATTTGTGACACGGGCTCAGACGACCAACTCCACACACACGAGAATGGCTGAGACCTGGGACCTGAAAGCAGAATCTCTGTTGTGCTACCTCAAGTGTCTCTTGATCTCAGAGCCACATAGCCAACTCGATTTGATGGATTCTCATGCAAACATGTTTTTTATTGGTTGATGGTGGTCTAAGCCCCAAACAATGCCACCGTTGTATAACCTTCCGATGGTTACTGCAGTTCGAATAAAACCACGTGTCAAGCTTTTGACATTTTATTTGTAAAATGCAGCACACAATGACACACACTTTACAGACACATAGTGCCGCATACTGACAATAGCCAAGGAAGAATGTGTCCGACGGTGCGTCTACTGCGGAGACGGAGTGCTGAAATCAGCCAGTGTCCAGGTGCTAGGTAGATTGATAACACTGCAGGATTGTGAGAGGTGCTGGTGGTGTCTTTAGGGAGCCTTCATCCATCAGTGGACTGACAAAGGCTGCTGATGATAATAATGTTGATACATAAAGTGTTCATTTTTACTGTTATAATGTCGTTATTGTATGTCCCACAGAATTCAAATTGCACGCACACACGTATTGTACCCAGTATTCACGCATGGGTGATTGAAATAATAACAATAAAAACATGTTGTCCTTGCCATTGCCATAATCCACATCTATTGTTTGCGTAGTCCCCCAGTGCCTCTTGTTCATCTGCCTCTGCAGCTGCCTTGGAATTGTGGGAAATCAGGCAAGGCAGACGTCTGGCCGTGAGGTCAATGGAACGTTCAACGTTCAGTTGCAAACACTGTGCACGATGGAGGCAATTTCACCTGAATTCTGAAGAGACGCCACACCAAACCCCCCGACAACAAATTAAGACCTCCCCACAAAGCCAGCAATAGCTAGCTGGCATTGCGCGATTGAAACGCAAAAAGCCAATGCCACATTGTGTCGCCAGATGTAAGCGCATAAATAGTCCCAGCAGCTTATGGGCCTTTGCAAGCGAATATTATCAATCAGCATTTGGTTAAGAAAACAAACCATGGTCTGGTTTAAGACATAGGCTTTCACGAGCATCCCTTTACGTGAGACCGAAGCAGGAAGATTTCTCGACAATTCTGGCTGTCGGCCTGATGAGGCTGGTTGTAATTACTGGTGAAACGTCGTACTCGAATTGTAAATGTTGTGGGTTTGCTCTCCAACACACGGGTGTGCTGAACTAGTAACGAATTGGCATATTTTGCTTACGTGACAAGCCTTACCAATTGGCTGTGTCGGGTGTTGGCAGGTTTAACGACACATTTATATATTTACGCGATCCAACCCAAAAACCTCCATTATGGAAAGCCATGGACTGGTTTCGACTTTCTGGGGTCTCATCAGCGGCCAAGCTTAAAGAAATGCTGCTGGATGAGCAGATTCTATTGGCAATCGCACTCCACACAGACTACGGGGACGCTGATCAATGCAAACTGTATAAGTAAGATGACCGTGATCAATTGGCTCGGGGCAGCCTCCTACCCGAGATGCCTCGTGTGGGGACTCTAACGCGTGGTGGAAATGAGGGCACGGCGGCTCCCAAAGAAGGCGGCAGTGTAGGAGGGGACGTGAGGGCAGACAGAGACGACGGACACGCCGGGCGTGCGGTTGATGGGGGGCAAGCGCATTGCAGAGTTACGAGGTTCAATTGTACGTAATGTGCGTACGCATATTGTACGTAATGTGCGTACGTATATTGAACTTCTTTTGCACCGTACGTAGCCAAAACGTGCTATTCGGAGGTGCGGAGGAAGGACAAGCAACTCATTGGTGTTGCAGATATAATCATTGTCATCAGCCACGATCAATCCACTGCTGGATGAAGGCCGTACTCAAGTCACCCTCACAATCAATCTTGCGACGCGGTGATCCACACGGCGCCTGCGTACCAACGGATTCCATGGCTCCATCTGGCATCGCGATGTAACCTTGAATTCCCACGGGAACAATTTCTTCATCTGATAAAGCATTTTAATATACGCAACGTCACGGAAATTGTGTGTGTGTTTTTTTTTTTAAAACGCTTATTTTTCGTTCGCAATGATCACGTTATGCCTCACCACCGTTTACTTATTTATTTGCCGCAATTGCCATTTCCATTCTCCACCGATTGTTCCCCTTTGTCCTTGCATTTTCCCTTGTGCGGCAATTCCCTCCGGCGTCCCTCGCCACTGCCCGCTCGCAATACCAATTGGCTCCCACCTGGTTTACGAGTGAGCGACTCCACGCCAATGCTGTGAACACGGTACTGTACGGTGCATGACAGCAGTAGTAAAACAAAGATTCCACCCCCCCCACCCCCCTCGAATAATATTGCCTTCCTATCGGAGCAAGAGTGCTTGTTCGCGTGATCCACTCCTCATTGTGAAGGCAGCCACGATGGGGTGGTGATGTGGTCGAGCACAAACGACCCGTTTATATTGAAGCACCGCACCAGGAACTGGTACGAGGCCGAGTCAATCTGGAGCAGGCTCAGGAGGACCGGTCCGCATATCTGTCGCTTGTGCCATCCTTTAGAATGTGTGCCTAACCACCGCGCTGCCGCCCCCGACATAATAACGGAGTGCACGTGTACAAAGACCCCCCATATAGCCTTGACAGGCTGTTGGGGCAAGGGCTGTTAGCGAACACCTATGAAGGCCGGCACGGCACACGAGGGGGTGGGTTGCCAGCACCACGCCCGGCCGCCTTTGTCTCCCCAGTGGCGATGTTTTAAACACCGCACCAGGTACTCACTTGCGGCTGTGTTGACCTAGGGGAGGCCCAAAACCGGTTCAGATTAACGTCGCTGGTGTTGGCCGTGAGTGGGAATCGAACTCGGGTCGCCAGGTTCATCGCCGCTACACTACCGCGACACTACCACCACACACAGACACACAATGCGCACGTGTAGACACGCACTGACTCTGCACGCAGGAACAATGCTCCCCTTGTACATGGGAGACACGTGTTTACACACACGTGGCCCTAATGAACGTATTTCAACACAGGCTCGTGAGGCCTTGACTACGGCCGGCCGTGGCCTCGCAGCCTCAGCGTCTGTGGGGCCCAGGAGGTTCTGTAATCTGACATTTCCTTCGTCACAAGGTCACACAGCACCAATCAGAGCTAGCGGATTTATTTCCACACATACAGACCCGGGCGTTAAAAACGGCAACAAATCCTCTTCCAGGCAGCAGGCAATGCAATTTAAACTTATATGTACTTTTTGATTTAAAGCTTTCGTGACTGCAGGG